CCTGCTGCAATGACTAAAAAAAGGTGGACACCGCTTAGGTAAATCTTTGGTAAACTGATATGACTGACTAATCCACAAGGACTCTTGTACGCCCAATTTGCAAATACTCATCCTCCACCTTACACTTGGTTGCTCAGACCTTACACTTGGATGCTTAGCTCTCTAGGTAAAGAAGTAGGGGTTTTTTATTTCGCTTGTTATCACTTCTATCAATAAGGCTATGATATATAACCTGAACACCTAACATTAAGCCCCACAAGTTACAGAAGTTCCCCCAAAATATGTAAAAATCACTGCCACTGAAATTTACTTTCCACGTGTCCAGAAGCCCGGGTATCAGGGCCAGCATGAACACCACACTCTCATATCGTATGGATCCAACCACATCTGACAACTGCCAGAGCTGCAGCTACACAGTTGTGCTACATGTAAGAGTTCATTGCTGTTCTTCAGCTTCTGTATTATCAGCAATAGACAACTCCACTGCAACTTCCACCAGCATCAAAACTGCTATTTGGTATATCACTGTTATCAAACGAAGGATCAGAATGTGGGGGTTTGTCTCCTCCTTGCAAGCACTGCTGTCCAGGTGACCGGATCTTCTAGGAAACCAGAACTTGCGCTGGGAGGAGTACATAACCCATGGTGGGGAAGCTTAGAAGCTGACGTTTCAGCACATGCCCTTTTCTACTCCCCCATCCCTTGCAAAAGCTAGGCCTTTACACTCTTACTTCCCTTTCCAGCATTCATTCAATCATCACCCCCCTCCATAGAGAGAGGCTCTGTTCTTATATTTTACTAAGAAGAGGTGGAAGCAGAGCTAGTTATCCATGCAAACATTGACAGGGACAGGGCAGGATGAAAACAGTCTGCTCTGTCCTCCCCACCCTTGTAAGGGAAGACAAAGGAAGCAGTAATCTTGACCGGGACAAAAGAACATCACTAGCACCACAACAGTGATGGCACCTCACAGTTATGATGTTCTTTGGCACTACATATACTGAGAAACAGAAGTACTAATTGTGTGAGTACCTAGCCATTACTTGTAAGATTGTGTTTACAATCACTCTCCGACTGGCAGCAGCTTTTCCACACAGGCAATAATTTCAGTCTATTTCTTAAAACTTTCTTACTGTTTGCCTGCAATTGATATAAAGTAATAAGAAAAAACAAATTTGAGAGGAATCTTGAATTCATCACCTAACCTACACCCTTGAAGACTGAAAACATCCTAGCATAACGCACCTATCTTTACAGTCCAATGCTCAGCCATTTATCCTAATCATTCGCACTTGCAAAGAATTACAGCAGATTTCCAAACAAACAGCCAACAAATTAGGTACAGCACACTGCTCTGCAGCATCAAAGACTTTAATCTCATTCCCTTCAGTATCCCCAAACTTGTTTAAAAGCTTAGAATATTAAAAAAAAAAATTATGCAGAAAGATTTTGGCATGCAGCTTTGTTAGGGTTACATACATAAGTTTCCCTTGATTTCAGGCAGCAGAAGTTGCAAAAGAGAATACATGATGTAACTGGGGAAAAAAAAAAGGTTAAAGAACAGCTGGGTTGCCCCTCTACAAGGCAAGGGGACCTAGAGACAAAGGACGTGAAAAAGGCCAGGACAGTCGGCAACTTTTTTTTGCCTGGGTTTTTACGGGTATGGTCTGCCCTCAGGCCTCCCACATGCCCAAGCACATCAGCAGTCAGTGCAGGTAAAGTATTACCTACAGCAGAGGAAGAAATTAAGGAGCAGTTAAGCCAACTGGACCTATGTCCATGCAACCAGATGGTATGCACCCAAGGGTAATCAGGGAGCTGGCCAGTATAACTCAGATGCTGCATCATCTTGAAGCAGCATGGTGAGCAGGCAAGTTTGCTGATGATGGGAGGAAAAAAGCAAACATAAAGCCATCTTCAAGAAGCACAAGGATGACAACCTGGGGAACTACAGGCCATTTGACCTTAGTCTCTGGGAAAGGTATGGAGCAAGTCTTCATGGAAGGGGTTCCAGCTACAGGAAAGAATAAAAGGCAAAAAAAAAAAGAGTCAACATAGATTTACCAAGGGGAAATTACGCCTGACCAACCTCACTGAATTCTATGAGGAGATGACTGGCTCAGAGAGTAAGGGGAAAGCAGTGATGTTGTTTACCTTGACTTCAGCAAGGCCTGTGACATCATCTCCCACAGTATTGTTATTGTCAAACTGTTCACTTATCCAGTCCATATTTCATGTGTAAGGTGGGTGGAAAACTGACTGAACTGCTGGGCTCAAAGGTTGCAGTACAAAGACCAATTGAAAGCCAGTGACTAGTGCTGTCCTTCACTGATTAACACTGGGGCCAATACTGTTTAACATTTTTATTAAAAACCTAGACAGTGGCACACAGTGCACCTTCAGTGAGTTTGCAGATGACACCTTCTTGGGGGGAGCAGTCAATACTGGAGGGCAGGTTGTTATTCAGAAGGACCTGAATGGGCAGACAGGAACCAAATTCAAAAAAGGCAAATGCAAAGCTCTGCACCTGAGGTGGAAGAACCCCATGCAACAATACTGGAACAACCCCCGGGAATAGCACAGGCTGAATGGGTAGAAAGCAGCTTTGCAGAAAAGGACCTGAGGATCCTGGTGGACAAGTTAAATGCGGGCCAGTAACGTATCCCTGTGGCAAAGCAGGCCAAGCACATGCTGGGCTGTATTAGCAAGAATGTGGTTGAGGAAAGCAATTCCTCCCCTCTCCTCAGAGCATATTAGAGACACAGTACCTGGAGCACTGTGTAGGGGGGAGCCCAAAACTGGACAAGAATTAAACTGCCAAACCAAATGGCAAAGGACCACACAGATGATGAGGAGGCTGAAGCACATGCCATATCACAAGAGGCTAAAAGAACTGGGTTCATTCAGTCTGGAAAAGAGAAGGCTGAGGGGAGGGGACTGAAGGATCTTCCTACTGTTTTTAACTACCTATGGGGAGAGCAGCCAGCCAGACTCTTTTCAGAAATGCACAGTGATACGACAAGAGGCAGAGCCACAAGTTGCAACAAGGGAAATTCCAATTAGATGTAAGGAAAAAACATTTCACCATAAGGTTAATCAAAATTTGAAGATGCTGCTCAGAGATATTAAAAAAAATCACCTAAACAATACCCTTAGCAATTCAAACTTGCCAGTCCTACTTTGAGTTGGGACTTGGACTAGATCACAACTAGAAGTCCCCTCCAACCTAAATTATTCTATGTTTCTATGTATTCATTCAGCATCAGCACACTGATGGTGCAGAGAAAGGCTACATTTATTAACTAAGTAGAATTGAGGCATCACCTTCAATGTTTATTTACTCCTTAGTTCTAATAGTATCAAAGTTCCCTTATGAAATGCCTCCTCTTCATTTATCAACCTGACTTCTCTGACTCCTGCTTCATCAGTAAAAATCACTCTAACACAGCAGAAACATTTCAGGAAAATAAACAAAATCCATGGTTTTCTCAAAAATAAAGTTGTATCTTAATTATGAATAAAACATACTGTCGCAAAATATCCTAGCACTGCTATGTTAGCAGCAGGGGGAGCTATGAATGCAGCAATGACAGACAGTTCCAGACTACTGCTATATTTTCAAATGCTTCAATGAAGCCAAATATCTGCCTTAGCTGCTGGATGAGTTAAAGACTGACTATGCCACAGGTAATAGAATGCTTCCAGAGAGGCAAAAGCATCTATACAAGAGTATGAAAACAGGATGGTTCTGAAACACACCACTAAAAACTACAAAATCTTACAATCTACAACAAATGGGAGGAAACACCTCCCCCACCAGCAG